TTTAGCTGCAGCAGTAACCCAGTTTAATTGGAATTAATGGTAAAATGTAATATAAACAGGTGCTTGTATTTTTTGACCAAGTTCAAGTTACTATATATATAAAACAAAACCGAATTTTTAGCATTACATACAYACTAAATAAAACATTTAACACATCACAATATTACCTACTACTCTGCCTGTTTACAGATCAACTCTGTSTAAATCTCTCAGGTGATAAACTGAATTTAAAAGGTCAAGCGTTTAAAGACGACACTGACGTAATGGTTTTCGACGGGCTGGTGAAAAACATCCACACCGAAATAACCTTATCAGGGCGGCTGTCAGAATCATTTATTCACCTCCGTGACATTTTCTAATCATCGCCTCGACAACCTTCTTCCATGTCGTTTGTCCCGCTTCAAGCATCCAAGTGAAAACACAAACTGTAGCATAAAGCATCAGAGAGGACACAAATCACCGCACTGTCACCTGCCCGCTCGTCCGTCCACCTCAGTCGACCCACATTCAGCCGGTGAGGCTGCGATGAGTGAATTGTGTCTCACCTGCAGGTTAGTCATCTGGAAGCGGTAATTGTGATTGGCAGCCGTCGGTGCGGAGATAATGAGCAGCCGCCGCTTCTCATAGAACTGGTCCAGCAGCGCAGCAGCTGTACGCACTCCCACATTAATGTTCATGGCTGTGATGACATTAAGTGTACAATTAAGTCAAGATCTAAAAGAAGTGGCAGGAGGTGAAGATTAATTACAACACACTGTCMCTGCGAGGCGCTGCATAATTAGATCACTTTGCTGAACTCCAGGTTGGCCTCTGATGGTCAGGAGCTGCAGCACACTTACTCCAGACTCGCAGACATTTTCATAAAACAGTTTGAAACCATTCGCATGGACTTTTCAAATCAATGAGCAGGCTGCTATTTTCTCCTCCAATGAGCACAACACATAAAAAACAGTAATAGTGTTGACAGAACAGAATGACGCATGCAAGTTAACACTGGAGTTATGTTGTTGAAAAAAGTCATAGTTCAGTTTATACTGGTTCTTATTTTGCAGAAGGCATTTTTTTTTTCAATTCTGTTAAATGTGCAAAAGCAACTGGATTTTTCACTTGTTTGGCAAATAAAGATTATTTTAAAAGAACAAAAGAGTTTTAGGCATGACAGAAACAAATGCTTGAAACARAGATGCTATTGCAACAAATGTGCAAAATCTAAAAACTAACAAAGAAGTGAATAACATTTTAGAACAAYGTGCACAGTTCAGTATTTGGTACCAATTCATTAGAAGGAACATGGTCACAAACTTTTGTCGTGACATAAAGTAGTTGTTGTTTTTCTTTCCACTGCTCCCTGCTGCAAGAAATTTAAAGTTATTAGAGGTTAGTACTGATGTTAAAAGCACAACACTATATTCTTAGGTTTTCCTTTTTGTAATGTTGACAGTGTTTAATCTATTATGTTTTGATTGAAATAGGTTCAGTTACATGTCCGAAGTATGTGACAACACATAATTAAYCGTTGTGATGACATTAGCTGAGGATTTTGTCTAAATGCCTGTGATTCAGCCGTAGGTCAGTAGGGGGCGAACACAGGCATTGAAGAGGGTGCTTAAATACATGAAAAAAAAAATTAAAAAAATGTGTAGGTTTTCTGGACGGGTTCTTCTCTAATTAAACGTTTCGTCTCTCCTCCAAGAGACTTCTTTAGTC